ACGGCGACGGCGACGAACGCGACGACGAGCGGCCTCGGGCCGGCCGCGGCGAGCGACGCGGCGCCGTGCGCCGCGAGGAGCCACGGCGCCGTGACGACGAAGCACTTGCCGAGCACGTGGCCGCCGCGCCAGTAGGACGTCGCGAAGCCGACGAGGAACGCCGCGTGGCCCAGGTTCTGCGTCGCGAGGCAGTCCAAGTACAGCAGGTCGGCGACGTCGCCCTCCGTGGTCAGACTGATGGCCACGCTCGTCGCGACCATCATCGCCGACACCGCGGCCGTGCCTATCACGTAGATTGGCACCGAGTCCGCCATCGCAAGCCACCCCTGATCAGGTGCGCCCATCGGCCTGACACAAATGCTTCACAGCGTCAAGTTTACCTCAAGCAAGGCTCAAGCAGGCCTTCAAGCAGCTTACGCCTCCGCACCGGCCGACGCCGCGGTCGTCGCCGCGAGGTCCGACGGCCGGCCGGCCTCGCTCAGGTTCTCCGGCGCGTCCAGGGACAGGCTCTGGCGGAGGACGTCGGCGGCGTCGACCGTCGGCAGCGACAGCGCGGAGTCGACGGCGGCGGGCATGTCGCGCGTGCGGCCGAAGATCTGGACGGCGCAGACGATGAGCAGCGCCGCCGCCGTGAGGTCGCCGCTGTAGGACGTCGGGCGGCTCGGGTCGGCGATGGACCCGAGCGAGAGCCCGACGTTGCCGAAGGCCGACGTGAGCTCGAAGACGATGTAGAAGAGCGCGCCGGACCCTGCGCGGAAATCACATATTCAACCCGACTTCAACGTGCGCGTAATTGAACGGATCGGACCAGGCTCTTTTACGGTGCTTCGAGAGCTCGACGAGAGCCATCGATTCGTCCAACAATCAGCCGAATCGACTTCGATGTGACCGAGCTAGAGAGTTCTGAAGTTCCCCCCCAAAGGAGCGGTTGAGTTCCACGCAGGCCCGAGCCGCCCATCGCGGCCTCGCCCGACGCGGCCGTGCGGCCGCCGTCGCCCTCGTAGCGCATGATCGCCGCGATGAGGAACCAGGCGAGGAACAAAAAGGCCGCGTCGCGCACGAAGCCCGTCGACGTCGCGACCGCGCGCGCGAAGGCGCGGACGTGGAACCGCAGGGCCGCCGCGCGGAGCGCGACGCGCGCACGCCAGGGCGGCGCCGCGTCCGGGTAGCGCACCATGAGGAGCTCGCGCGTGTCGATCATGGCGTCGTCGAGCGACGACGCCTTGGACGCGGCGCGGCCGGGCGCGCGCGCGTCGCCGGCGTGCAGCGGCGACGCGCCGCTCGGCCCGAGCGACAGGCGGCGCCCCGCGGCGTAGCGCCGCCGCGCCTCCGCCGACGGCCGCGGCGGCGCGTCCGGCGCCCCCGCGAGGGACGCGCGCCGCGGCGCCTCGTCGGACGGCCGCGCGCGCGCGACGCGCACGGACTGCCGCAAAGCCACCACGAAGGGCACGGGCGCGAGGTACATCATGAGCAGCTGGAGCATGAGCGCCGACGCCCGCAGGCCGGACAGCGCCACGGCCGTCATGCCCGCGTGGCGCGTGTTGACGGCCTGGAAGGCCGCGATGTTGTACCTCGTCCACCAGCTCTCGCCGCGGAAGCCGTCGTCGCGGTAGCAGATCGACAGCAGGACCGCGACCTGCACGAGGAACATGGCGACCTGCGCGGCGACGAGGAGCCAGTTCTGCTGCGAGCTGAAGAGGCAGGGCGTCAGGCGCCGGCCGTGGAGCAGGAGGTAGCGGAAGTAGACCTTGCGGTTCGACGTCCGCGGCGCCGCCGCGGAGAGGCCGACGATGATCCAGCGCACGCAGGGCGGGTAGAGCACGTTGCCGTGGAGCACGAGGCCCATGACGAGATAGAGCAGCGCCGGGTGCCGCGCGAAGCCCATGAAGCCGTCGCGCTGCAGGCTGAAGCCCACGTTGTTGAACGCGGACCTGTGTGCAAATCAACCACTGGAACGCCCTGTCCAGCAAAAACTTCAAACCTCTCTAGCTCGATCAAATCGAATCGATTCGGCTGATTTTTTGACGAATCGATTGCTCTCGTCGAGCTCTCGAAGCACAGCCGAAGAGTCTGGTCCGAACCGTTCGATTACGCGCACATTGAAGTCGGATTGAATATTTGATTTCCACACAGACGCCGACAGCGTGTGGAACGCGGCCCAGGGCAGCGGCGCCGCGGCGACGTCCGCCGTGGCCGCGCGCCGCGCCGACGGCACGCGGGCGACGTAGGCGGCGATGAGGCCGCCGTAGACGAGGTAGCAGGCCGCGTGGTAGGCCAGGATGACGCGCTGCAAGATTAATAGCGCCTTGTACTCGACGAGCCACTCGGGGACGCGCTTGTAGTTCCGCAGGTCGAAGGTCACGGCCTCGTGCTGGCACCAGCGCCGCTTTCGCCCCCGCAGGGAGGCCGTCGGCGACGTGTCGCCGCGGTCGAGCTTGAGGTGCGGGAGCGCGGCCCGCAGCGCGCGGAGCCGGAGCACGATGGGCAGCAGCGACAGGATCGTCGCGGCGCCGAGCTGCATGAAGGCGCCCATGAGCACGAGGCTCGCGCTCCGGAGCGCCGTCACGTCGACGGTGGCGAGGCCCGTCGCCGTGACGCAGTTGAGCGCGACGAAGCAGCAGTCGAGCCACGACGCGCCCGTCCGCCCGCCGCGCTCGACCAGATGGATGGCGCTCCCGCCGACGACGGCGACGACGAGGATCCAGGCGACGACGACCGACGCGTAGGGCATCTGCTGCACCTCCGACACGCCGCCGGCGGAGCTCGTCAGGAACTCGCCCCCGACCGAGAGCGAGGACCGCCGGCACGGCTCCTCGGGGCCCGCGGCGAAGCTCACGCGCTTCGACCCGGGCAGCTCCGGCAGCTCCACGTCCGACGAGTCGCGCACGCGCGCCTCGCCGGCGTCCTCCGCCATGCTCTCGAGTGGCTCTTTACCGACGCACACGAGACGCAGGGCAGCCTCGCTGCTCGATTGATGCATCGTCGACTTTGATCCTGCTCGTGCCAGCCCAGCCACATCATGATGGCCTGCGCATCCTTGCGCATCGCGCTGCTCGCCGCTGCGGCGACGGCCTTCACCGCGCCGCGCGGCAGCGCGCTGCGAAGCCATCGCAGAGCTGCGCCGCTGCGCGCCGCGCCGCTGGACGCTGACGTGCTCGCGCAGCTGCCGCACGCCTCGACGCTCGTCGTCGGCGACCTGTCGTCCATCAACGCCTTCCAGAAGGACCACACCTTCCTCGAGGGCATCATCGTGTCCATCGTCATCAGCCTCGTCGTCAAGGAGATCCGGCGGCGCATCGAGAAGCCCATCATGGACGAGGTCGGCCGACGCGTCGCGTCGCAGATGAAGCCGGAGCCCGCGGCGATCACGACGTCGTCCTGGGCGAAGCTCGTCGGCTGCGTCGTCCTCGACCTGCTCGGCGACACGAGCGAGCTCATCCCCTTCCTCGGCGAGTTCACGGACATCGCGTACGCGCCCGTCGAGGCGAGCGTGCTCAAGGCGCTCTTCCAGTCGAACACGATCGCGGCCTTCGGCTTCGTCGAGGAGATCCTGCCCTTCACGGACGTCATCCCGACCTTCACGCTGAGCTGGTGCCTCGCGACGCTCTGGCCGACGACGCCCCTCGCGAAGCGGCTCCTCCCGGAGGCCGCGGCCGCGAACACGATCGTCCCGTCGTCGAAGTAGCGGCGGGCCGTAACGCGTGATCCGTGGAGTTTTTATATGCCGCGGCGCGCGCCTACTCCTTGTCGTCGTCGATCTGGCCCTCGATGGTCTGGAGCGGCGGCGTCTCGCCCGGCAGCGTGCCCGGCGTGTTGATCATCTTCCCCGTCTCGTAGTCGTACTCGCCGTTGGGGAAGTAGTCGCGGTACCAGGGCATGGTCGCCTGCTCCTTGCAGCGCGCCTTGAGCGCCGCGAGCCGCTCCTCGTTGAGGTCCGCCTGGTCCTGCTCGAGCTTCTTGGCGCGCGCGAGGCGGAGCCGGGCCTCGGGGCCGCCGAGCGGGTCGCCCTCCTCGCCCTCGAGCGCGAGGCCGGCGACGAAGGGGGGCAGGCGGTAGTACCAGGAGTAGTAGGTCGGCCCCTGGGTCTTGTTGTCGACGACGCCGCCGTCGCCGCGGTAGACCTTGACCGGGTGGATGTCGATGCCCTCGCCCCAGAACCGCTCCTCCTCCGTGTCGGGCGTGTTGTAGCAGACGTAGCCCAGCGCCTGGAGCATGTAGTGCACCTCCTTGATGTCCTCCTTGTGGCTCAGGTGCACCTCCGACAGGCCCGTGAACATGGCGATGGACTCGGGCTCGTTGTGCACCTCGCCGTACCGCAGGCGGATCAGCGGCGGCGTCGGCGCCTTCGCCGCGTCCTCGCCGAGCTTGAAGCCGAAGTCCTCCGTCGTCAGGCAGAGCTTGGCCTCGTCGCAGGTGTAGGACCCGAAGCGGCCCACGCGGGGCTTCGTCACGAGGCCGAAGCGCTTGCCCCACTGCGGGTAGCACCGCTTCGTCGCGTTCGCGTAGTCCTTCATCTTGACGACGCCGCGGACCTGGAGCCCGCCCTTGCGCCGGCCCTGCTCGTCGAGCACGTCGACGCCGCCGGCGGTCTTGGACGTGTCGACGATCTCCCAGTCGGGCACGGGGATGCCCTCGGCGTCGTACGCGATGCCGAGCGGGCCGTCGCCCTCCTTCTTCAGGTTGCCCTCGTGGTCGTAGATGGTCATCTTGTCCGGGGCCTTGGGGATGCGGAAGAGGGGCGGGATGTCGATCTGGGACACGACCTGGCCCTTCATGGGGCCGCCCTTGAGCTTCCTCCCGCCCTTGTCCGCGCCGTACTCGTAGTAGGGCTTGCCGTCGACCTCGACCTCGGTCATGGTCTCGTTGAACTCCTTGTGCCAGTTCTCGAGCGTGTCCAGCGGGTCCTCCTCGCCGTAGGGGTTCGTCTGGTCGTAGAACTGGAGCTTCGTCGACGGGAACTTGGCCTTCTTCGCCTTCTCGGCCTTGAGCTCGGGCTCCCACTTCTCGCGCCAGTCCATCTGGGCGTACTGGGACCGGAAGACGACCTTCTCCGTCGCGCTGGCGTGCGTCTTCTCGGCCTTGGCCTCCTCCTCGGCCTTCTCCTTCTGGAACTTGGCGAGGTCGACGCCGCACGCGAACTTGCCGTTCATCTGCCCGTGGAAGATGGCCTTCGTCTTCGGCACCGTGCCGGGCGCCTCGCCCTTGACCCAGGACGACCCGTCGAAGTACATGCCCTTGGGGTCCTGCGGCGGGCGCGCGCGATTCGTTTCTCGCGGTGTTTGGGCGGCGGCGCCGCGCGTCGAACGCAAAGCGCGTTTGGGGTGGGCGCGACGCGCGCGCGTCGCGACGGCGGACGCCGGGCAGCGGACCTGGCACTCGGCGTTCGCCAGCTTCTCATCGAGGACGCGCGCCACGTTCGACGCCATGGTTGCGATCGTGCGGCGGCAGCGACGTCGCAATCAATGCAGCCCTTCCGATTTTAGTGTGACGATTTCCGTGGTGTTGACGGCACGTTTGCCCCAATCACGGTCGCGTTGGCCTCCCGCGTCCGGTCCACCGCCGCGGACAGCTCGCCCGCGACTGAGAAAAATTTAGTCGTCCTCGAGGTCCCGCAGGAGGTCGTCGAAGGTCGGCCGGTCGTCCGGGTCCTCCGCGAGCATGCGCGCTCTCAGCGCGTCGACCCGGTCCGCGGCGTCGCGGTCGCGCGCGACGTCGACGATGAGCGGGAAGAGCCAGGACCGCGCCGCGAGGTCGTAGACGTGGACGCGCCAGTCGAAGGGCGCGCACGCGGCCGGGTCGCCCGCGCACGCGCCGATTTCCGGCGCGCCGCGCGACCCCTCCTCGCAGTCCTCGCGGCAGTGGTGGTACGCGTAGGTGCGCTTCGCGCAGTAGTGGGCCGCGCTCGCCGCGCCGTGGCCGCCGCAGGGCCAGGGCAGGCCCGGCTCGAGGTCGAGGTGGTCCGGCTTCGGGTCCGCGGAGCCCGGCACGTGGATCTTCGACGGGTGGCCCGCCAGGAAGTGGCGCCGCGCGAAGGTCGCGACGGCGCCCGTGTTCGGCGCCGGCCCGTCGACGAGGGTTAGGCGGCCGAGGCCGTCGAGCGCGAACTGCGCGGGCTTGAAGTCCGTGAGCACGAAGCCGCCGCGTTCCGCGAAGGACCGGAAGCAGCGGAGCCAGGCCCGCGCGAGGTCCAGGGGCGCGTCGCGCGCGCGGCCCGCGTACGCCGGCGAGAGGAGCAGCGGCGAGTGCTTGTGGTGCGCGTGGTCGACGTAGCCGGTGCCCTGGCCGATCGTCGCGCCGTCGTGCGACGTGACCCAGACGACGCTGTGCGCCGTCGTCCACCCGCCGTGGAGCGTCGGGACCCCCGGCTCGCCTCGGAGGTACTCGAGGTAGAGCAGCTCGAAGTAGGCGATATCGCTCGCGCGCTTGCCGAACGCGAACTCGTGCGTGTTGTGATGGCTCTTGACGACGACCTTCGCGCCGCCGTCGGCGAGCCGCGAAGAGTTGACAGACTTCTGACCGTTCGCCGAGAGCGTCTCGACATGGGCGTCGTCGACGTCCGACGGGCCCCGCACGCGCCAGTGCTTCGGCGCGCCCTCGGCGCCCGCGAGCCATTGGTCGATGAGTTTGAGGCGGCCGAGGGGGGTGGTTGTTGCGCCGGCGGTGAGGAGGCATGCGACGAGTCGTAATCGGGCGAAATAGCGAGGCATTCCGGCGCCTACGGCACGGTCCAAGACGCTCGGACGCCCTGTGCCTCGCCGCCTTGCCTTGCCGCCCTGCCTCCGCAGGCCGCTAGCGCTATGTCTCTCTACGCCTGCGAATCGCTAAAAAAAATCCACAAAGCTCTCGCAGTCAATCGATTGGGACGCCGCCAAGAGCTGTTACAGCCAAACGAAAGACCACGATGAAAATGCTAAGCGAGCGAACGCCAGGCGAGCTGTTCGACGACCCGGTACGCCTGAAACGCCTTTGGGAGCCAGAGGACTGTTGGAAATGCGGGGCGAAGATCGGCGAGCTCCACGCGCCCGGCTGCTCGTTTGATTTCTGTCGTCGCTCCGGCATTCAAAATTTCGGGGAGCGCCCGTGCTTCTGCGACATGGGAAGCCAGTATCAGTGTCGGCTTAGGTGCCTACGTGGGCGCCTACGAAGCCTACGGACCTATGACCTACGCACCCACGCAGGCCAGTACAATTACCTCACCGGTGAGCGGATCAATGCCAAGAAGACGAACGCCGGACGCATCGACCCCCCCGGGACTCTCGCGAAACCTCACGACGGCCGCGACGATGGGGGGGAAATTTGTCAGTTTGACGTGCCCTGGGACGGCTACGCGCCGATGACGAACGGTCTCAAGGCCCTGGGCATCGTCATCGTGCGTCGAGTCGCCACCGACCCGGAGACGGGCCGGAACTGCGTCGTCAACGAATTCACGGACGATTGGACCGCGCCCGGCGCGATGGCGGACTCGATGTCGGAAATCATGCTCCGGGATACGGGCGGTTTCATCTGGAACTCCCACCTCCTCCGCTTCACCTGGTCCGAGAAGATCACGTCGCTGGAGAACAGCTCGCGCGCGCTCGCGCGGCTCGCGCTCCTGTCCGCCAAGGACCGCGGCGCGCCGCGCGAGGACGCGCCCAAGGCCATGCACGTCGTGCACCGCCTCGCCGCGTCCGGCCACGCGACGACCATCAGCTCCGTGCTCGCGTTCTTCAAGGGCGAGGAGAAGCCGTGGTTCTACGGCGGCATGGACAAGATCTTCGAGGCGTCGCGCGCGGCGGAGGGGCGCACGGAGTCCGACGACTTCGACGAGCAGTCGGACGAGACCGACGAAGACGAGCGCGCCGTGCCCGCGCGCGCGGACCTCCGCGGCATGAAGATCAAGGAGCTCAAGGCCCTCGTCGAGCGCGGCGGCCTGAGCCACGCGGATTGCCTCGACAAGGACGCCCTCGTCGAGCGCGCGGCGGCGGCCGTCGCGCGCCTCGGCGGCGCGGGAGAAGCGTCGGATGAGTCCGAGGAGCTGTCGGTCGACTAGTCTTCACGCGTGGACGCCGACCCCTCCGGAAAATCAGGGCTCCCTCTTCTTAAACCTTAGTCGGTCGACTACTAAGTAGGCGCGCCCGTAGTTTGGTGTTCGGTCTTCGCGCGAACACCGACTCCTATGGCCTACTTCTACCGCGCGGATTCGTATCTAGGATTCGTATCTAGACAGGACTCGGAAGAACGGCAACCCCAGGAGTTCGACCTGCAAAAGAATCGAGTCCGGTATTTGCGCGCGAATATCGTACGCGGCTCGTGACGGCAGCCTGGCGGACACGCAAATCTGTGTGCTTCCGCAAGCTCTTTATCTTCGCGCCTGCCTTCGAGTAGATGGTGCGATTGGTCTCGTCGTCGTCATTTAACACGATGCGCAGTAGTGTCAGAAGCAATCTCACAAGATGGTCTGCGCTTCGGCCGGAGGGGTCATACACCTCATCTGAGAGCAGCTCACAGAGTGGAACGACGCAGCCCGCGTCGACGAGGACCTCGATCTGCTGGATCGAGCAACGCTGCGCTATGGCATGAAGGGCCCAGACGACTTCCTCTTGAATTTCAACTTCGGTCGCACTCAGGAGCTGGACGAGCGGTGGGATGAAATTCGCGTCGATGATGTCTTGGACGTTGACAGATTCGCTGGCCGCGACGTGCCCGAGGACGCGACACGCTTCCCCGCGCGCGTCCGTCTCACAGTCGGTGAGAAATGGGAGCAGGTCCGATAGCACGTGTAAGTCGAGGATTACCCGCAGTTGGGCTACGCTTCCGCTAGCGACGCCGGCCACCGCAGCTAGCACGTTGGTTCGAACATCCGGCGACGGGTGCCCCATGAGCTCCACCAAGCGACGGCAGTAGTCTGTTTCCGCTTCCATGAGAGCGTGGACCCTGGCTTCGACGACTTCGCGTTCACCCGTAGCCAGATTCCCCAGGGCACCGCACGCATCGATCAGCACCTCCTCGTTGGGCGAGCAGTGGATGAGTCGAGTGAGAAGCGGGAGCGCGGGCCGTATACTGTCAAACACGTCATCAGGCAGGGTTGACTCACAGAGGCTATTCAGCGTCGCCGTCACCTCTCCCAACATGTCCGAGTCGTCCTCGTCGAGCATATTAAAAAGGGTCGCCAACACGCCCTCGCGAAACACGCGTTCTCGGCTCGTCGGGCCGTCCTCAGCGATGCTGCCGAGAGCCCAGATAAGCAGCCTGCGCCGCTCAAATTCGACACTTTCGGGATCGTCGGGCGTTTCGGCGGCCGACGAAATCAGCCGGCAAAATATGGGTATAGCGCCCGCCTCAACAACAACGTCCGGATGCCCCGCCTCCGCGATCTCGCCGAGCACGTTTATGGCCGCGAACTGGAGTCCAATGGAATCGGAATCGCGCTCGGTGCCATTCAGGAACTCGACGAAGCGCGGCACCACTCCCGCCGTTTTGACCACCGCCCCAATCGGTGCATTCTCGACGTCCGTCAGAGATTTGAGGCGATTGGCGGCGCGGAGTCGATCTCCCGAATCTGTCGAGAACAATCCCGCGACGAGCGTCTCCCGTTCCTCTCTGAGTCGCGTGGCGATCGCCTTGGACGCGAAGATCAGGGCGCCTCGGTCAGGGTCAGAGGAGAAATGCAAAACGCTGAGGACCAACCCGTCGGGGAGTTGCTCGAGGCCTTTGCGACGGACAAGCTTTCCCCGCCGCTGATCTTGTGGTGTCGCGATCATCTCCCCGCCACGTTTAGTCCGCTGGTCTGTAGCCACTCGTCTCGGCGCGCACGCCCCGCGTCCCGCGTCACCTCGCGCGACTCCGCCCCCTGCCTAGGCGTTCTCGCCTTTTGGGCTTGTGGCACGAGCCGCCCACGGACAAAAGATTCGAACCTCACGACGAGGTGGGTGGGTGGGTCCGGAGGCCTGATTTGGAAAATCTACAGTGTACTGATGGGTACTTGTAACGCACGCGCGCGCGCGCGGTCATGACCCGCAGTGCCGCGGCTGACGGTCGCGCGGCGCCTCGGCGACGTGTCTTCACGCCGCTATCGTCGTCTCTGGGCAAGCGCCGCTTCTCGCCGCGGCGAGTCGAGCGGCGCGGGTGCCCGTTCTCATCGCAAAGCGGAGATTGGACCGCGCAGCTCCGCGACACGAGAGAGCGCGCGCGCGGAATCGCGCGCGCGTTGTGGCGATTTTGCGAGCGGCAACTTGAAGGCAACTAACGAAAAGGAGGTCCCTGATTGGCCAGGAGGTGGGTGGGTGGGTGCCGGGCCCGCGAGCGAGGAACCCGACGTAAGGTACCGCGGCTTTTATCCCGGGCGGCTCTTGCTTGTGGCAGTAATTTTTATCAAGATGGACGCATCGGAGGACGGCCACCCCGTGCCAAGCCTCCCAAGCACGTTACCCCGCCGCCGACGCCGCCCGCAGCAGCTCGGGCCGGACGTCGCCCGGCGCGACGATGGACGCGCGCAGCGGCAGCGCGCCTTCGATGCGCGGCTCGAGCGCGCCGAGCCTCGCGCGGACGCCCGGCGGCAGCACGAATGCGGCCTTGGCGACCTCCGGCGAGTAGTAGGCGCAGGCGCCCGGCGGCGCGGCCCAGCGCGTGTCCTCGACGACGTCGCCCCAGCGCCGCGCGCAGAGGAGGGCGGAGTAGTGGCCGGACCTGAAGCAGGGCTGGAACCAGCAAAAGGGCCGGACCTTGTCGAAGGCGTCGCAGACGGCCGCGGCGTTGCGCCGCGCGTGGTCCAGCGGGTAGGGCGCGAGCGACGTGAAGTTGCGGACGAAGACGCCGTCGTTGGTCAGCGCGTCGCGTCCGAGCTCGTTGAAGCGCCGCGTGTAGAGCGGGTGGCTCGCGGTCGTCGCCTCGCCGTCGTCCTGGTCCGTGGCGTCGACGATGATGACGTCGAAGCGCCGCGCCCCGGCCGCTTCGAGCCAGCGGCATCCGTCGCCGACGACGACCTCGAGGCGGCCGTCGCCTCGCACGGCTTTCGGGCCGAGCGTCGCGAACCAGCGGTCGCAGATCGCGCCGACCTGCGCATCGATGTCGACGACGGTGACGCTCGAAACGCGATCGTGGCGCAGCAGCTCGCGCGCGCAGCCGAGGTCGCCGCCGCCGACGACGAGCGCGTCGAGCTCGGCGTCCGGCGCGCGCGACGCCGCGGCCGCGACGGCGACGTGGGCCAGCATCTCGTGGTAGTGCGCCTCGTCGGCCTCGCTCAACTGCGCATCGCCGTCGATGACGAGCAGGTTGCCCACGTCAGAAGTCGCGTAGACCTCCAAGGTTTGGAATTCCGTGACCACTCGCTCCCGCAGCGCCGTGACGGCGTACTTGAGCCGGAACTGGGCGACGGCGGCGTCGTCCGCGCCGCTGTGCGTCGCGAAGGCGCGCCGCGCGCCGCCGCCGCGGAACCACGAGGAGAGCATCTCGCGCGCGCTAGCGGCGCATCGAATGGGCTGCTCATGCAGGTTCAACAGCGTCTTGAAATTGCATCTTTCCCGACGTCGATTTCCCGACGTCGTGAGTGTCATCCCTCGACGATCGAGCGCGTCCGCGTTCCTGACGCGCGGTCCGGCCCGTCGCGCGGCACCGCTTCCACGCGACCTTCAGAAACCGCACCAACCCCATGGCGCTCGCCGCGCGGCGCCTCGCGCGCCGGCGGAGCTTCGCGCAGCACCGCGACATCTCGACGCTCATCCTCCTGCGCCACGGCACGAGCGAGTGGAACGGCGCGGAGGCGCGCTTCTCCGGCTGGTGCGACATCCCGCTGACGGTGCGCGGCCGCGTCGAGGCCGTCGCCGCGGGCCAGCTGCTGCGCGCGCGGGGCTTCCCCGCGCGGCGCATCGACGTCGCGTTCGCGTCGGAGCTCCAAAGGGCGCACGAGACCTGCGAGCTCGCGCTCGCGTCCATGGCGGGCCACTGCCAGCACACCTGGTCCACGGACCGGATCCAGCGCGACCGGCGCCTGAACGAGCGCCACTACGGCGCGCTGCAGGGCCACTTCAAGGACGACCCGGACTTGGTCGCGGGCTTCGGCATCCCGAAGCTCCGGGAGTGGAAGCGGTCCATGCACGGCACGCCGCCGGCGTTGGACGAGCGCCACGCCCACTACCAGCCGCCGCCGGCGCCCCTGACGGAGTCGCTCGCGGACGTCCGCGTGGAAATCTCGAGCTCGGTCACATCGAAGTCGATGCGGCTGATTTTTGGACGAATCGATCGCTCTCGTCGAGTTCTCGAAGCGCAGCCGAAGAGTCTGGTCCAAACCGTTCGATTACGCGCACATTGAAGTCGGGTTGAAGATTTGAGTTCCACACAGGCGGACTGCCAGCGTCGCGTCCTCGACTGCTTCGAGGACCTCGTGAAACCGGCGCTCTTCGAGAGCGCGAACCGGGCCGTGCTGCTCGTGGCGCACAGCAACACGCTGCGCGCGCTGATGGCGGCCATCGACGAGGTGCCCGACGACGACGTGCCGGCGCTCCACGTGCCCAACTCCGTGCCCATCCTCTACCGCTTCGACGTCGACCGACGCGCGCCCGTCTCCGTGAAGCTCTGCAAGGGTAGCGGCACCCAGTCGCACGCGCGCTGGATGCTGACGCCGGAGAACCACGCCCAGGTCCACGACGCCCTCGAGTCGGGCGGCCTCCTCACGCGCGCGTTCTTCGAATCCGTCGACGTGAAGCGGAACGGCGCGGTCAGCGTGCGCGAGCTCGACCTGTCGCTCACGGCCTACCTCAAGGAGGCGGAGCTGGGCAACAACCGCATCGACTGCGCCGTCACGGCCGTCGCGAAGAAGATCGTCCGCGAGGCGCGCGCGCGCGACTCGACGATCACGCTCCGCGACTTCGAGCGGGAGGTCGCCGCGGCGGCCGCGGCGCTCCCGAAGCGCGACGACCAGGTCGAGGCCGAGGACTTCGCCTGGCAGTCGAACTGGGACTAATGCATGCTTTGTTGCCGTGCCTGCCGTGGTCGGGGAGTCGGCAACGCGGAGCGCGCGGCAACACGACCCGCGCCGACATTTGCCTCCACCGACGCAATGCATATGGTCTATTTTCGCCGCTGCGGAGCCGTGACGCAAGCTTGCACTGGAGCCGTGACGCAAGCGTAGCACGCAGCGGAGAGCAGCCGCACGTTGAGCACAATGGCCTGGCGCCGCGGCACGCAGAACCAGCAGGCCGGCGCGATCCGCAAGGGCCATATCAAGGAGTTCCTCGTGCCGTCGTCGGCGAAGCTCGCGGCGGCGGACGAGAGCGGCCCCCTCGACGTCGTCGCCGCGGAAATGCTGCTCGGCGCCGACTGCCTCGACAGCGCCTGCGCCTACGTGTCCCCGGACGTGTCCCGACTGCCCGCGGCGTTCCGCGCCGCTTTGGAGCGCGACGGCGATTTCCACGTGCACGCGCACGAGCACCCGGCGGTCGTGCAGCGCGTCGCGGTCCGCGGCGGCGTGCCGCCCGGCGCCATCGCGCTGAGCGAGGTGCAGCGGCTGAACAACCGCGTCTGCGTCCACGACGACCCGACGTGGACGCTCTATCGAGGGAAGCACGAGACGCTCGACGCGCGCGAGGCGGCCATGGGCGCGACGGCCGTCGCCAGGGCCGTGCCGGACCTCGACGCGGCGGCGATCATCTTCGAGGTGCGCCTGCGCTTCGACCGGCCCGGCGGCGCGGCCGCGGACCACGGCGTTTTGCGGCGCGCGCTCACGGCGCACTGCTTCGGGTGCCTCGTGACGGCGCCCGAGCTCTTCGTGCTGCCCGGCGTCGAGGCCGACGACGGGTCCTCGGTGGAGCTCGTCGCGCGCGTCGTCGAGGTGCGCTGCGAGCGCGACGACGACGACGACGGCGACGACGACGGCGACGGCGGCGGCGACGAGGACGACTACCGCGGCCGCTTCGCGACGGCGACGGCCGTCTACGCCGTCGCCGACGGCAACGCGCCCGCGAGTACGCGCGTCGAGATCCTGCGGCCCGCGGCCGTCCCGCCGGCGAGGAACCCGACGGACTACGTCGACGTCGTCTGCGCCGAGGACGACGAGGTCTTCCCCGTGCGCCGCGCGCTCCTGCGGCCGTGCCTCGCGCTCACCAGGGCGGCGCAGGCCGGCCGCGGCAAGTACGACGCCGTGCAGGACTCCGTCTCCGTGCCGCTGGACTGCTGCACCTTCGACCGCGTTTTGCTCTATCTCCAGCACGAGCGGCGCCGCGAGCCCTTCGCGTTCGACCCGACGCTCGCGCCCGAGCTGCTCCGGGCCGCGGAGGCGCTCAAGATCCGGGGCCTCGAGGACGCGGCGAACAAGGTCCTGGGCTCCTTCGACGAGCGCGTGCGGAAGGCGCCCATCCGCCTCGCGGAGGTCGACGCGCGGAACGCCAAGGGCGGCGAGACGGACCCGCGCGGCGAGACGTGGCTCGTGCTCGACGGCATGGTGCTCGACATCACGCGCTGGCTCGGCGAGCACCCGGGGGGCAACACGATCATCCCCCAGCAGGCGCTCGGCTGCGACTGCGCCGTCATGTTCGAGATCTACCACGTGTCCCGTCAGTCCTTCGCGTACCTCCGCGAGTTCTACGTCGGCGAGCTCCACCGCGACGACGCGCCGGACGTGCCGCCGCCGGCGACGCTCCCGCCGGGCGCGGCGACCGCGGCGTCGCCCGCGTTCCTCGCGGAGCTCCGGCGGCACACCGCGTGGCGCCTCAAGGACGCGGACCTCGTCTACCCGACCTGGAAGTCGTTCTAACCCACGTTTTAGGACTCCGCGGGCGCGCTCCCCTCGGCGGGCTCCGCGGCCTCGGCCGCGGCGTGGACGGCCCGGAGCTCGTCCCAGAGCGCCTGGCGCGCGGCGCCGTCGGTCGCGCCCCGGAGCATGGCGCTCACCTCGCGGTCGCCGTTCATGAACCAGAGCTTGACGACGTGCGTGTCCCCCTCGGGCAGCGGCATCGCGTGCTTGTCGCCGACCCAGACGGGCGGGCCCGCGTCGAGGAGCCGCTTCATCTCCGCCTTGCAGTCGCTCTTCTGGATGCGCTCCATGTACTGCGCGTACTGGTTGCTCTCGCCGCTGTGCATGCTCTCGACGGTCTCCGCGGCGAAGAGGCAGGGCTTCCAGGCCAGCGAGGGGAAGGTCTGGTACTCGACGTAGTTCGTGTGGTCGATGTCCTCCATCATGGCCAGGCACTCCATGCCCGGCGGCGGCGTCCCGTGGACGCTCGTCGACATCTCCGCCATGAGTCGGGGTGAGTGGGGAGCTGGTGGGACGCGGCGAGGTTGGGCACACGACCAGCGGCGACGCTCTCCGAGGAGCGGTTCAAGGAGCAGTAAATGTGCACTCGCGCGGTCCGCGCGTGACATGCTACAGTGGAGTGAATTATACTAGACGCGGGTGAATTCGTGTGCGGCGCTCGGGCCATTCTCACCCACCCCGCGGGCTGCGCTCCTCGATGGGCGCGTTGCGTCCGCGGGCTGCGCTCCTCGATGGGCGCTTCGCGGGCTGCGCTCCTCGGCTGGGCGCTTTGGGGTCCTACTTGTCCTGGGGCGTGACGCGGCTCGCGGGCGAGGCCGGCTTGTCCGGCTTGTCCGGCTTGTCCGGCGAGTCGAGCGCGTCGATGAGGACCTCGAAGGGCTTGTCCTCGGCGGCCGGCACCGGCACGAGCCAGCCGAGCTTCTTCGCCTTCAAGACGAGGTACTCGATGTCGAGCTCGAGCGCGGACTCGAGCGCGAAGGTCCGGCTGAGCCCCCGCGACTTCGTGAGGTAGGCCGCGTAGCGGTAGCGGAGCGTCGTCGCCTTGTGGTAGCGGTGCACCTCCGCGCGGTCCAGCGTGCCGTCGCCGTTGACGTCGATCTTCTCGAACGCGTCGCGGAGGCCCTCGACGGTCTCCATGTCGACGTTGCCCTGGCGGATGAGCTCGAGGATGACGAACTCGCCGAAGTCGAGCACGTGGTCCGACGCGATGAGGTCCTTGACGTTGTCGAAGTCGTCCTTTGTGAGCGGCACCTGCTTGATGGGCTTCGCCTCGAGGATGTAGCCGAGGACGAGGTTCGCCCCGGACCCGACGGCGACGCCGAAGATGGGGATGCCGAAGACGCAGAAGATGGACACGAACCAGGCCACGGAGTCGTCCATGTCGCCGTCGCCGAGCGTGTTCGGCGCCTGCAGCCCCGCCGTCGACATCGCCGCGACGGAGAAGTAGACGCTCCGCACGAAGGTCCACTTCTGCGACACCATGCCGAAGATCGTGCCGAAGCCGACCCAGACCCAGAGCGCGAAGAACGCCGTCGCCGTCGAGTTGAGGTACTTGCCGATGACGGCCGACCTGGGCAGCAAAAGAGAGATTCAACGTCGCTTCAACGTGAGTGTTCCGCGCGCGAGCGTTCCGGAAAAAGCATCCACGCTTCGAGACCGTTCCGAGAGATGATCGCTCGTCCAAAAGTCAGCCAAAACGAGTGGAAAACGGCCGAGATCGGAGCCTTTGAAGTTGGGAATGTCGCGCTCTTTTGCTGCCCTGCGGCCGACCAGACGCCGAAGCACCGGTCCCAGACGTCCGCGTCGCCGTCGCCGTCGAGGTCCAGCTTCTGCTTGCCCGTGAAGACGCCGATGAGGCTCAGGGACTGGGACTTGGCCGTCTCCTCCAGCGTCTCCAGGTGGTCGAACCACGACTGCACGTAGAACGACAGCACCGCCGACGCGACCGTCGCGCCGAGCAGGATCATGGCCACGGAGAAGAGGCGGCTCAGGTCGTTCTCCTCCGTGAGCGCGCCGAAGCCGATGGAGAAGCCCGCGTTCACGGCGTAGTAGCAGCTCTGGGGCACGGGCCAGCCGTTGAGGACGCTGTAGATCGCCGTGCCGACCGCGAGCCAGACGACGACGACGACGCAGATCTTCTTCCCCGTCCCAAAGCCCGCGACGGTGCCGTCCTCGCCGCCGGCCTCGAACTCCACGGGCACGAGGTCGTGGTCGTCGAGGAGGTCGCGCTTCCCCGGCGAGGCCGGCGGCGGGGCCTCCTTGGCGCGGAAGGCCTTCTTCTTGCGGCGCGACTTCTCGCCCTTGAGCTTCACGTGGTAGGGGCTCTCGGAGATGGCCTTGGCGCTCATCGCGCCGGCGGTGAGGCTGCCGAGGCGGCCGCCCCGACGCGCAAGATCTGGCTGATGGCAGCCCCAAAATTTGTTTGGGAAACATCGACGCTTGAAGCTAGCTTGCTACAAATTGCCCTACGCGCTCAAGGCGGCCTCCAGTAGGCCGCGCCCTCGACGCCCGCGGCGCCCGGCGGCGTCTCGTCCGCCGCGGGCCAGACCCAGTGCTCGTTCGCGGCCGCCGCGAAGAAGGGGCGCGCCATCCAGCGGGACCCCTTGATGCCGAAGAGGACCTGGAGGCCGCCGCCGACGTAGATGGCGACCGCGCCGCGCTCGAGGACGTGGTGCGCGAGGGGGAGGCCGTAGCTGCCGCAGCCCAGGAGCGCGACGTCGACGGGCCCCGCGGCGTCGATGGCCGCCTTCGTCGCGGCGAGGGACTCGGACCAGGACCCGTGCGGCGGCGGCGCGTCCGCGAGGGACACGGGCGCCCGCACGACGACGAGGTCCAGGGCCGGGAGCACGTCGCCGTCGGCCCAGAGCGAGCGGCCCCCCGCGTGCGCCGCGTACTGCGCGCGGATCGTCGCGGCGAAGGGGTGGACGACGAGGACGCGCCGCCCGCGGAGCGCCGCGGACCAGGGCCGCGCGAAGTAGAAGGGCTCGAGCGCGCGGTTGCCGACGCGCGTCGCCCGCGGCGCCAGGGCCGCGAGCACCTCGCGCTCCGCGTCGGTCCCGAAGACGGCCGCGAGGCCGCCCTGGGTTTGAGTGGCGTTGATCGCCGCCGCGTAGGCCGCCGCGAAGGCCGCGGCCTCGCGCCGCGTCGCCGGGTAGACGCCCGCGTTGCCGCGGAGCGCCCCGAGGTCCGACGAGAAGTTCGCGCGCGCGCCGCGCGCGTACTCGAGCGCGACGCCGAGCTCCGCGCCCAGCGCCAGCCGCGACACGAGGAAGGGCCCGCGGCGGCCCGCGAAGCGGTCCGCGAGCCGCGCCCGGATGAGGTCGTTGCCGGCGGCGGCGTCCAGCGGCGGGCCGCCCACCGTGCCGACGCGGTGGCGCGCGGCGCTCCAGTCCGCCGCGATGGCGCACGCTGCGGACGCCGCGCAGCGCAGCAGCAGCGTCATCTCCTACGCGCCGCGCCGGTCATCGTCTCGAGGAGCGGCTCCATTATTAGCAGCTCCTGCAATGTTGATTCAATAATCTCAACTTGAACAAAATAGTGGCCCTGAAGCAAACGATGGCCACCTTCGACGAGAGCGTCTGGTGCGACGTGCCGCTGGTCGCGGACGACGAGACGAACGTCTGGGGCCAGGCGGAGAGCACGCTGGCGACTGCGGCGCAGCTGCGCGCCGGTCCCGAGATGGACAGCGCCAAGGTCGCCGTGCTCGGCCGGGGCACGGCCGTGCGGCTCCTGCAGCGCTGCGTCGGCGCCACGGGCGCCCTGCGCGTGCGCGTCCGCGACGCGAACGACGTCACGGGCTGGCTGACCTCCAAGATGCTCGCGCCGCCGGCGCCGCTCGCGACCGCAGCGCTCGTCGCGCGCGCGCGCGCCGAGTTTGTGCCCGGCGTCACCGCCGAGGGCGTGAGCTTCCTGCGGACGCGCGTCGGCGCCGTCGGCGTGCCCGACGCGGAGACGCCCGTGCTCGTCGTGCTCCACGGCACGTCCTACAACGCGGGCGTCTGGATCCCGACCTTCAAGCGGCTCCACGAGGTCTGGGCGTCGGAAAACCTGAGCTTCGAGGCGTGGATCGTCGAGTGGGCGGGCCACGGGCGGTCGCGGGCCGTCGCCTGCCCGGACATCGACGTCGACCGCTACGAGCTGACGCGCGAGGGCCCTTTCGACGTCCAAAGCGTCCTCGGCCACGGCGACGCGGCGCGCGCGGTGAAGGCGGGCCGGCCCGTCTTCGCGGTCGCGCACAGCGTCGGCGCCCAGATCTGCTGCCACGCGGAGCTCAAGGCGCCGGACAGCGTCCTGTGGCCGTGACGACTTTCGAGAGATTTCGGCAGGGAAAACGATGAAAAATCGTTACCGTCATGCTTGGTAGGCGCCGGGCACCTTCGGGGGCATCGTCGTCATCGAGCCCATCCTGTTCCCGCCCCTCGACAAGCCGCCGAGCGGCGCGGCGGACGCGTCGGGGTTGATCAAGGGCACGCTCGTGAAGAAGAAGCACTTCGACGTCCCGTCCGAGGACGGCGTCGTCGACTACCTGACCAAGACGGCCATGGGCAAGCAGTGGGAGGGCGAGGCCGTCCGGAGCTTCGTCGCGCACGGCGTCGCGCCCGCGGCCGGCGGCGGCTTCGACCTCCGCTGCGACCCCGCCGTCGAGGCGGCCATCTACGTCAACAGCGGCCGCAGCGCGGGCAGGGCCTACGAGCGGCTCCAGGACATCGACTGCCCCTGCTTCACGTGCATCGGCCACGACAGCGCCATGAACGGCAACGGGTCCTCGCAGGCGCACCGCGACAACGGCAAGCTGGTCGCGTCCCGGTTCAAGCGGGGCCTCGTCGGCGAGCTCGCCGGCCTCGACGCCGAGGCGACGACCTACCTGGGCAACTGCGTCGTGCTCAAGAAGTGCGACCACTACGTGCCCATGGAGAACAGCGCCTGGTGCGCGTCGTTCGTCGCCGCGGCGCTCGCCAAGTACCGCGGGCCCGACTACGCCGGCCTGACCTACTGGAAAAAATAAACAACAGGGGGCGCGTCACACGTCCTCGCCCATGATGTCGCCGCAGGCGAGGGCCGTCGGGCTGAGCCAGCCGCCGTCGTCCGGGGGCGGCGGCGCGGGCGCGGGCGCCTCCTTGCTCTCCTTCCGCGGGCTGTGCGCCCGCCGGGCGTGCGAGGGCGAGGGCGACGCGGCCGACCCGTGGGCCGACCGCGCCTTCCGGCCGGCGTCGTCGATCTTCGCGGTCACGGCCTCGACGTCGTGGCGGAGGTCTTCGAGCCGCGCGAGGACCTCGACGTGTTCGGGCGACGCGAAGGCCACGTGGCTCTCGCGGCGGTGCTTCCCGCCGGCCTCCGGCGCGTGGCGCCGCGCGGCGACGAGGCGCGCGAGGGCCTCGGCGCAGTAGCCCAATAGCCCCGCGCCCACGGCGACCGCGGCGATGACGAAGTAGCCGACCATGTCCCTCAGCGTGTACTGCTGGTCGTTCGCGTCGTCGTCCTGGGCGCCGCAGCCCGCCGCGAGCAGCGGGTCGCTGGGGAAGTAGCGGTCCGTGAGGGCGAGGATCGTGTTGTCCGCCGTGAGCGCGCCGAGCACGTAGGACGCGGCCGCGCGGAGCGGGTCGTCGTCGTCGCGGCGCATGGGGATGGAGTAGTAGACGGTGCCCTCCTCGGGCCCCACGGGCTCGATGTCGCAACCCGTGGGCTCGCCGCCCTGGAGCTGGTCGTTGATGATGACGTTGCGCGCGTAGTGCGTCCAGGTGACGATGCCGCTGCATTGGCCCTCGCGGAGCGCCCTGAAGAGCTGCGCGTACCTTTCCAGCGACGGGTCGTACCCGTCGAGGTCCCGGAGCGACACGCCGCGGATGTTCGGGTGCTCCTTCTCGAGGAACCACTCCGTGGACCCGCCGTAGTAGCACGGCGACAGGCCGAGCTCGGAGAAGGACGAGATGCGCTCGATGGGCTGCGCCGCGATGAACTCGACCGTCAGGAACGTCGTTAAGTTCGCCGTGTACGCGGACACGACGAGGAGCGTGAAGAAGCTGAAGAAGAGGGCGAAGACCTTGCCCTTGGACGTGCGCGGCTCGAAGCCGCCGGCGCCCGTCATGTTCGACATGGACTGGTAGACGCCCTGGAGCGCGCCCGCCGCGTTCGGCTCGCCCTCCTCGTGGATGACGAAGCCGTAGATGAACCCCGAACAGAGCATGACGCCCGCGAGCAGCCCCCAGACGTTGTTGGAGAAGGGCTGCTTCCAGGACGTCAGGCTCTTGCGGTAGCTCGCGTCGCCGTCGGGCTCGGGCACGAGCGCGAGGGCCGAGAAGCCCGTCTTCAGCGTCGGCACCTCGACGAAGTTCCCCACCTCCAGGATGCCGTCGAGCGTGATGCCCGTCGACGTGACGACGCAGTCGAAGGTCGTCAGGTTCGCCTGGAAGTAGGCCAGCGCGTCGACGTCGCCGTCCGGGAGCGGGGCGCCCGTCATGTTCGCGGAGCACGCGTACCCGGTCGCGCACATGACGTGGAAGGACACGGTCCAGCCGCCCGCGGCGGCGACGGCCTCGAGCAGGTCGACGTTGAAGCCCGTGACCTTGCCCGTGACGTCGACGGCGTCGGCCTCCGTCTCCGTGGGCGTCGCGTAGGCCGCCGCCTCCTCGTCGGCGTCGTCGAAGTAGAAGAAGGCGTTGGACTTGCCCTCGCGGTGCAGGCAGCGCATGTCGCGGCCCGCGGCGGCATCCACGGCCTCCTGGGTCGGCAGCCAGGTCGCCGACGCGCCGAGGACCAGCAGCCCGACCAGGAAGCACCACACATGTCCCGAACCAGCTGCATCTTCGAGGGTGTTACCGGCAGCTTTGGCCGCGCGCGAGAGCCTTCGCGCCACGCTCTCTCAAATATGGAGGGCCGGAGCCGCGACGAGCAGTGGCTGCTCGACGTCGTCACGCGCTGCGGCATCTCGGCGGCCCGCGCGAGCGACGTCGCGCTGCAGGGCGCCCAGATGCTGCGGCGCCTCAACATCAAGGTGCCCGTGGGCCTCTTCAAGAAGGGCGAGTGCTGCCGGCGCGCCGTCGCGCTCGAGCTCGCGAGCCGCGAGGCCGGCGGCGCGAGCCTGCGGCGCGACGCGCTCGTGACGGCCTGCAGCGCGTCGAGCCGCCAGTACGAGGCCGTGCTGCGCCACGCGGAGAACGCGCTGGGACTGGTGGGACCGGCGGAGCGGCCCGCGACCGTCGAGGCGCTCGCGCGGGGCCTCTTCGGCGAGAAGCAGAACACGGCGGCCCTCGCCGCCGACGCGCGGCGCTTCCTCTCGCTCCTGGCGCCGCCCCACGACGCCGCGGCGCTCGCGGCCGCCGTCGGCGCGGCGGCCGCGCGGCGCGGCGCCGACTGCGACCCGCGGCGGCTCCGCGCCGTCGCGGGCTGCG